TGGAGGTTTTGGTTTCTCACTCATAGAGGTTTTTAGAGGTCAAATTTTCTTCCAATAAATTATCAATTCATAAGATTTATTCATACATTAAGAATGGGAAACAAACAAGTGCCAGCAAACCATTTGAAAAGTATACACAGTAATAACTGAGTGCAAAAAAATAGCGATGCCACTCCAGGGTTATGTTGTGATGAAGATAAATCCCTTTTTTCGCTAGAATATTATACTATTGAAAATTTCTTTTCTCAATCGTTCATATCAAAACATAATATTTGTGCACAGCACACGTCTCACAATCTCTGCTCTTAACTAACTCTTGAATCGAATATTTAATATTAATTCATTTTTGACACCTTACGAGTTGACGCCAGTTGTTACGAATTTATTTACGTCTTACGAATATGTGTTTGTCTTCATTTACATAAATGTTGGTGTTTCCAAAATTTTCCACTATTCGCAAATGCTCCCCAAACCTCAAAATCAAAACAAGAAATCGTTTTAGTAATATGTACGAGTCGTCAACTCGTACGTCAACTTGTGTGTGAAACATAAGTTTCCGAAAATGGCAACAGACGCGTTATACATAGCAGACAACATGCAAGAATAGAAAGTAAAAGGAATAGAATACATAATAGACTAATTTATGATTGTAGAATTTTGCATAAACAAAGAAGAGTTTATGAAGATAACTACGCGACAATTCTTAGCGTTTATATAAAGGCTTAAAATTTTAAAAGAATTCATTCCCAACTTATGTCTCAATGCGAAAAGGTGCAAAGAGTGTAGAGTTTTTCAAAGTTTAATAACACAATGACATTGAAAAAAGCTTTAATTTTGCTCGCTTTTGTTGTTTTGCTGTATATAACATTGGTGGATGCAACGCTGGACAATAGTAAACAGTTTGACAATTCCTTAAAGACCAATATCCGCCCACCAATGCACAAGCATTCGTCAGATGCGAAACGTGAGAGCTGCATGCTGCATAGCTCCCTTTTGCCGGGTGTCAGTTTGACGGACGGGAAGCACAGAGGTAATTTCGCTGAGACCAGTTCGAGCAATGCTACTTGTATGATGGAGTTGGCGGTCTTCGCCTTATCTATTTACATGCTCTCAAACGTAATCGAATAAGTTTAATGATACTAGTAAAATATTTGTAAATACGGACAGGGAATATATGGTTAGTATACACTTAGTTAGTAGTTTAGTTTAATCTAAAGATGTGGTTAACGCAGTAAAATATTTAATAATTTATATGAAATGCATTGATTTCGGCTCATTCTCGAATAAATAAAAGTATTATATTCATACCAAGAAGAAAGAAATTCGTTTGAAGCAATAAGCGTTCATATCTTTGGATTTTGTTATTTAACGGGGCATCTGGAAAGACAATGTACATTGCTAACCATCTGTCAAATACATTGCCATTGAGATTGTCCATGTTCTTATGTGGACATATGCTGTCATGAATTATTCATACTCAAAATGGCTTCGGTAGGTACGTTCAAATTGATATAGCGCATGCTTGAGCTCTAGAACCGTTCAAAAATTTTATGAGGATGACAAAAATCTATGTTGAGGCTAAAAGAAGTAGATATCTACTTTATAATATAATATATAATGATAAAATATAATATAACATATATTTTGGAAAAATAAGACTTCATATTTTAAGACTTAAATAATTGTTGCATAAATTTTATTTCATTTACCAATTCATTATTTAAATATAAGCAATGGTATTTACATATGCTAACAATTAGCATTAAAATATTAACCATGCATAAACATACATATGTATGTATTTAATTACTATTTTCCATGTTTTGAATATTACTTTTGTAAATTGCAGTTTACGCAACGAAACATAGAACATTAACATTCCATCTTTGCTGGCATCATGCCACCCACGCTATGCATGTACATGTTGCCTTTTCAAAATGTGTGTGCAAATGAAAACAGCTCTGTCAAACCACCAAAATGACAGTTCAATATCATCATATTTATTAATCTGAATGCTTGACACCTACTATATTTTTTTATCGGTTTCAATTCTGATTCCGACAACTATCAGATTCTACAACACCCCTGATTATGCTAAAATTGTATATCTCAAACTCGTCTGACGTACAGAACAATGCAAGATTTAAACGGCTACAATGAAATTACTACTGTCTGCTGATTTTCGACAGATCGGTCATTCTTCGCTTTTCTTAATTCAAGATAACGTTTAAGCTATCGTTCTTATGGTGAAGTGTTCAGATGATTTGATGGATGATAAATATGCGTATGCAATTGAAAGTTAATTAACCAGCACAAATATACTCCGAACCAATGCTAGAAATTAGAAAGGGTATAAGAGAACTGCAAATACTCAGCGCAGTGAATTGTCAGACAATTTCTGCACTGCTGTCCACGACAAAAATTTATTATTTAAGAGTATTTTTCTGTAAATAAAAATTAATTGCTTGGATCATAATAGGCACGGTAGCCGCGTCGCTATAGCGCCCACAAATGTAGATGTTGACGGAATGTATTTTTAGATACAAGAGTTGTTGCCAGGTGATGTGATGTTATTTAAATTAAACGCTAATTTTGTTGATGGAAATGAAATAAAAAATGTAAAATTGTTTTTCTAAACTCTCTAGATATACCCGTAATGGTATCACATAGTCCTCGATTCGTAATTGGTACACCTATTATACTTTAGAGTAATTTGAATCCAACTCGAATATCATAATCAAAAAGATTACAGGAATATTTATGGAAGCAACCATTATGTATAGGAAAACTCATCTAATAATGATCCTATTGTCACGTATTCGATGGGTACCATTACGCCTATAACGTTTTCATCTATATTTATAAATACCATTGACTGTATCGAATAGTTTATAATATAATAATTTAATATTTATATATATATATATGTATATATCTTAGCCACAGCAGCGCGTGATTGGCGCTTCTAGTAATACAAGTAGTATATAGATATATTCATCTCTTTATGTTTTTGCAAAATAAATATATTTATTAGATTCATACTGTTTTTACAAAAACTCTTCAAAACTTTAACCAAAAAATCCACGTCTTCTTATAAATCGCCTGCCTCCGAAGCCGCCGAACCTTCGGCCTCCAAATCCACCACCTCCACCAAAATGACGTCGACCCCCGAAGCCGCCGAACCTTCGGCCTCCAAATCCACCACCAAAAGGGCCTCCGAATCCGCCAAAAGGCCCTCCGAATCCACCAAAGGGCCCTGGGCCAAAACCGAACTGCCGCACAAAGCGCGCGTTTTCATTACTGTGTTGGACTCCTGCGTCCACTGAAAGCAATTCTTCTGCTTTACTTGCTGCCTCCAACTGTTCAACTTCTGCTGCAAAAACGCTTAACGCCACAAGACACATCCACAGCATATAAAATATGTAACGCATTTTATTTGTATAAAAATATTATATTTGCACCTCTGAATTCTTAAAGAAACAGTTTTATTCTGAACTTCAAATTGATTTTGAATTACTTTTATACAATGTCTAACGCCACAACTAAATGGGCGCACATATACATATGTATATACAAACACATGTATATATATATGCTAATAGAGTTGAACAAATGTTCATAGGCACGTTAGGGACGGGTATAGAACATAATCAACCCTTATATAATTTTTTATTTATACTTAAGAGCAATTATCTGCACCATGGGATTACAGCATTTTTCGCAAATGGTTTCCCAGCACATGGACAAATACATTGAACTTTGAAAGTCATCTAATTCTTAAAAATCCCCCACCGAACATATATACATACTTAGGTTTCGATCGAAGATCGAAGATCGCTAACATGTCTGCTACCAGGTTTTAAAGTTAACGCGTAGACAGCGTAAAAACCAGCTAGTTTGTTATTTATGCGTAATATCAGTTTCAAATAGTAAAAGCGTCTACGTTATCATTTTATTCGTATATTAACTACTGTAGAGAATGATCAATGAATAAAAAATTTGTTTACAACTCACTTTATACTGCGTTCTTAGTCTTAATGGGTATATTAAGGAATGAAAAGACAATTCAAAATTCTTATATGCTTATGTACATTAGTATGTTAAAATCAAAGTCGGCTATTTAACATAACAGCTTCTGGCTATTTTTACAGGTTAGCTAATACCTGAGCGTCACGTGCTTTTCGAAGTTTTGACTTATTGATATATTTGTTTCGTATAAAATACAAATTTATGTACTTAAGGACATATAAACATACATATGTATATATGCATTGATAAATGATGTTTGTATATAAGGGTGGGTCAAAATAAACGAATGTTTTTCTTTCGCCTGATACTCTGAAAAATTGGTTGATAGACACCTTTAAGAAAATCTCTCCAAGTATGAGCTCTTAATTGTAACGAAAACGTCATCCGCCTTACAACTTTCTATTTCTATCCTATTATCAGATAGAAAAATTAAAATCTCGCTTGCAACTACTTGAAAAAACACTTTTGTTTTATGGATTTGCACAAAATTTAATGCTCTTTAAAAAAGGTCCATTATGATGTTTTCGAAAACTTAACCGTTTAAAAAATATTATTTTTATTATAATTTTATTTTTTTCTTTTGAATTTTATAACTCAATGAAAAAAAATCATTTTTAATTGCAAACAACTTTTATTGTTTATTCTTTTCAACCATTTAATACTCGCTGCATCTCTGGACCATAGGCCTCTAATCACAAAATTTAACGTGAAAGCAAAAACAAAGGTAGCCAGTTTTATTCGATTCTGGAGTCTAAGGACACCTCATTAAAGTGGAATAACCGCTTCAGGTATCATCTTCTTACCTATATTTAGTATACCGATTTGTTGCTTTAATGTCAATTGTTCGATTCACCACTGTCCAAGTTTTTGAGAATTGAAGACATTCTAATAGTATATCCAAACTAGATTTTATCGGTGCATTTTTCTCCACAAAACAATATGAGAATTTATAAATAACTTTCAAATATAAAAATCAATAAGTAATTTATTTAGAAGGAAATGTAAAGCATCAACATATAATATACATGTGTGTATAAAAAGTGAAATGTACACATATTTCAAGTCATTCATGCACACGGTTTATCAAAGTTCACCTTGGACATTATATTCGCACAGAGGGCAATTACTGTTGTGCCAATTATGGACGGAAAGCATTGTCCTAAAAACTCCAGCAACATCGGTTGTTTCATGACAACCTGCGAATAGTCATCAAACGATATCACACCATCTTTGTCCACATCGAATTTCTTGAACAGCAAATCGACCATATCCGACCGTAGCTCGTTCACTTCGTCCTCATCTTCGCCAACGAAAAATTTTTCGACAGCATGTTGCACAATTTCACGATTCAAAAATCCGTTACCATGAATATTGTAAATTTGAAAAGTGAATTTGATCTTCTGATCCAATTTGTTGGTCATAAAGACGGAGAAGAGGCGCACCCAAGCAACAGCGTCTACCTCCTTTTTCATATCCAAAGTTATGTGCAAGAGGATGCGTTCAATTATTTGCAAATCGAAGATTTTGAACAAAACCAGGAATAGGTGGAAAAATTGTTTCTTTGTCATATGCTTCGCCTTGGAACCGTTAGCCAAAACGAATTTGTGATAAACCATTAAAATACTGCTCACTTCACCCTCCGTGAACTGCGTCGTCTTGGCCATTTGCTTGATCAGATCGTGATAGATATTCCCAAATCGCGTGTTCTGCACGTCATCCAACGTAGCATCCAACTTATTCATAGTCATGGTGCTTCAGTCGTCTACAGATGGATGTAAAGTTTCAAATATATTCTGTTCTGCGGTGCACAATAAAATTTAAAACACAAAAGTCTTCAACAAATGATCACGTAAAGAAATCCTCAATTTCAAAAAAGTAAATAAATAAAAGAAAATACTCAAAGTACTGTCAATTGGGAATCATATATTTCGTAATAAAAACAAAGTGAAGCGCCAAAAAAAACCAGCATTTTATATATGTAGATATATAGATATATAAATATGTATATAGATTTAGTTAGCAAAAATAATATTCATATAATGTATATACAGTGCGTTCAAAAAATATCGTTTTCGTTTTCCAAAGTGTATGTAGAGTTTATTGGGGAAAATTTGTAATTATAGAAAATACATTATTTTTTTATAGCTGAAACTTATTCATACTTGCTCCAATCTCCCGCGTTGTCTATTATAGCCTAACAACTTTCCTCATATTCCATAGGGAGCGACCTCTTTTGGCTTTCATTAAAGTTCAAACATTTTCTCTTGGATTGGCGTTTGGTGACTGTAAATACTAATCTAAAACAACAATATGGTTTTCTAGTTTCAATTGAGTACAGAGTTTGCTCAAATGCTTCGGCTCATTGTCTTCAGTATCCCTTTTATAAAATTTGATCATTCTAACGGCTTTCAGGTTTTCTATAAAGCACCTCAAAACCCCAAATCGACAAGCAGAGATTCATTAATAAACATGCACCTTTTGGGGGTGCTTAAGACTACTGTAAATAGATGTTTTCTCTTTTCTTAACCAAACACGTCGCAAGGTTGAACAATACAAAATCTGACTTATCTGTAAATATTACATTGCTCCAACCACGGTTGATGTTTTTCTGCGTGATTTGATTACAGTACAGCTATGTTACGTTTGAATCCAGATCTCTGACGTCTGTCCCGTATTGTATTTAGAGTTACATATATCTAATCCCTCTTTAAATACAGATTTCTCAGCTTCCCTTCGACAGAGTAGTGGTTTCTTTTCAAAAAGAAGAACAATAGATTTGTCCTCACTTCTAGATGTCACGTGATTCCTCGCTCTTCCTGGCATGTCATCTATGTATCCAGTTTCTCCATAATGGTCAGACCTCTTCACAAATGTATAACACGTATTTGTATACTTTGCAATTTTTATACCCTGAACGGTATACATCAAGACCAGAATCAATAGCCCCATGCACCAGAGACATTAACTTGTATATCCAGGATGATACAAGAGGCCTTTATAGGAGCCGGGGTCAAAATTGAACCATGGGCGTTGCAACGCCCACATGTACGTGAATTCACATATCTCCGTACTGTACCATTGTCAACCAAATTCGATACATATTTTTATCCTCACGATCCTATGTTACATTGTGAAAATGGGCACAATCGGACCACAATCACGCCCGATTCCCATATAGCACAATTTTAACTTCCATATGAATTTTTCACTTTCAAGCAGCAATGAGTATGTCTTCTCGTGTCTAAAAATTGTCAAAATCGGACTATAACTATCTAAGCCAGCTGATATCGAAAATGTGGACCCCAAAGCTTATGGCTGACTTCTTACAGAAAATAGCGGTCAATATGTGAGATATGTTATTGAAATTCGGGGGAAATATATTTATATTCTCGAACTTTCAGTTAACTTATTATATTATATATTGGTCAACGTGCTAGTTATTTTAATGAAATTAAGAAAGCGTATTTTTCTAACGACAATGTATTTTCTACCTAAAATGGATAAAATCGAAAATTTGTCTTAGCCCTCTTATAAATTGCTTGAAAATAAGTTCTCAAGTATACCTGAACAATGTCAAAAATTAATGCAATCAGCTCTTCCATTTCTATGCCCGCAATCATTTATTTGAAATATAACAAGATTTAAAAAAATTAGATTATTTTTTAGGTAAATTTTTGAACATAAAAAACAATATGTTATACCTTTGGAATATACGTTTAATACAACTACTTAAAACGATTTTTATTAAAAATACAATAAAAAAGTTAACAATTTAAATATTTTCGTACCTTTAAATTGGGAAATCAGACAACTATTTTAATGTTAGCATAAGAGTTTGTGCCACTTCATTTTTGATTGATAATGTTGCCAAGCTTGCCAGTCTTTTTTGAAACATTTATTTTATCTTGATAAGTTTCAATTAGAGAAACAGCGCACTCCCCTACCTACCGACACAGAAAGTGTTAGCAACACTCATATTGCTGTAAATAAATTTGTAAATATATCTGTTCATACGTTTGAACAAATATTATAACTTAAAACTCCAGTAGCACTTATCATATGTCCATCAATGAGCCGTGAGTTAATGACATTTCTAATTGTTTACAATGGCTGTGTGTGTAAAAGTTTGCAGCTGATTAATATTATATTGTATAAAAATACAAAAGTTTTAGCAACTTATTTCAACTGATCGTACCTTTCTTCACGTTTTCCAAAGGAAAAACGTTATATTTTGAACGTACTATATATGTACTGATAAAGCTAACTACCTATACAAGTATATGTACATATTTTTAATATAACAAATAAGAGTAAAAAAAAAAATGTAAACAAAATCCAAAGCGAGTTCTTCAACTCCATTATTTTTTTGTCTTTATGCCGCTATTGAGACTGGAAATTATAGCTTTTTTATTCAAAAAATCCCCTCCAATGATTTCGCATCTATTGAAGTCGTTTTAGCACATCAATAGCAGGTACTTACAGTAATGTTTATTTAAAATTGAAAAAGTAAGGATACAATTTATTAAAGACGTCGTCTTGTTTTGGATAATATTTACAAAATTTATAATCATAGACCGTATATAAAATGCGACCGTGTTCTAAATGTTTGTTCTCTTTACTCTGGTATTTGTATACATTTATGCTATCCACAGAGAATCCTCCAATAATAATATAATATTATATATAAGTGAAATTATTTCATGCAACAAAATACATTTAAATACTTAATATTTGTTTTCTTTTTACCGAAACCGCAATTTTCTTTCTGATACCAAAAGGAAAAAAACAGGTTCTAATGCGCATGTTAACATACATACGTTTTGTAAGCCAGTTATATTTTTTCACTTAACAATAATCGGGTCCAATAAACAAATATCATTTCAATTAATAAATATTTGTTTGGTATGACTCAATAACTTAATGTTAGTGCCGCATACTTATGTCTAAAGATATTCATACATGCAATATATTATATTACTGGCACGGCTTATTATTACCCTGCAGAAAAATTGACTAGTTCAGAACTGGCTAAATTTTCATTATGCAACCAACTGGTGGTTTTGATATGAATATGTTTTTCTAACACTTCAAAACAAAATAAAAACGAAAGTATACTTAAACAAGTAAGGAGGGCTAAGTTCGGATGTAACCGAACATTTTATACTCTCGCAAAATCAAATGGTATACTCGTTTAAGATTTCTTTGTGGATTGACCGATATTTTCGGTGAAAGATCAACTATGGGGTTTGAACAGTTTTGGTTCGATTTAGACAATTTTTGGTCACAAGGTGGCATACTTTAAAAGTATTATTCATGGAAAGTTTTACCCCGATATAGTCATTGTTGCTTGATTTGCATAGTGGAAAGTGAAAAATTCAGATGAAATTTAAAATGGTGTTATATGGAAAATAGGCGTGGTTGTGATCCGATTTCGCACTATAACATAGAAATAAGAGAAGAATGTTATGCACCGAATTTGGTTGAAATCGGTTAAGCAGATCCCAAGATATGGGTTTTCACCTAAAAGTGGGCGGTGCCACGCTCACTACATATCTAATTTTGAACGTGGTTCCTATAAAGTCATATTATACCATCCTAAAGATAAAATTTAATGTCTCTGGCTTGTTTAGTGCTTGATTTATAGTTTTAAACAGTACCGTTGTATGGGGAGTGGGCGGGATTGTCACCCGATTTCACCCATTTTCACATCATCGATAGAGATGCTAAATACAATTGTTTTTAGTGAATTTTGCTGTTATAGCTTCAGTGGTATAGGAGATATGCACATTAAACTTATTAGGGGGCGGGACCACGTCTACTTTTAAATAAAATTTTAAACTGCAGATGCCCCTCCCTAATGTGATCCTGTATACTAAATAAGAGTCTTGTATCTTGTTGTGGAGCTTAGCTATGGCAATTTATTTTTTTTTGATTAATTTTACTCAAGTTACAGCTTGCACAGACGGACGGACGGACGGACGGACAGACAGTCACCCGGATTTCCACTCGTCTCTTCATCCTGATCATTTATATATATATAACCCTATATCTAACTCGATTAGTTTTAGGTGATACAAACAACCGTTAGGTGAACAAAACTATTATACTCTGTAGCAACAAGTTGCGAGAGTATAAAAAGAAAAACGAGTTCAATCGATAATAAATCGTTTCACAACTGATTCAAGTCTCGTATTTTTCTTACTAGTACCATATCAGTTCGAAAATTATAGTTTTAAACTAGTACCTTTCGGATATGTGTTATATTTTGCGGAGTTCTTAGTTCGCATAACAAATAAATATTCATCAGCAAAGCACAGTGAATTCTTTGATGCATCAATGAGGTCTCATAAGCACTACCGTAAACTAATATAGGTCAATTATGAAAACATTATAATTATATTCAATTCAATGAATTTGGAGAATGAAATAAATTATGCAATTTTTTTGCACAATTTCGCTTTAACCAAGTGAACTGATATGAACGTATAATATAATAACGAGGCTTAAATTGTTTATGTATACATGCTTGCTTTTACTTTTGTTTGCTCTTAAAAATGTCGATTCCATCCATTATGTGCATTTAAAGTTACAAAATACCCATAAGTCGTCTATTTCGCGTAATTAGCACTTCATTAGCGTTGTAAATATCGATTTTAAAGCCAACTTTTAACGAGCTTCCGCACGTTCTACTCCCGTAATCCACTGTCATTACAGATTTTGCAAAAACTTATAGTATGTACAAGCAAGCGAACAAAAATGCACTCAACAATTGCCTTGTATTACAGGTTGATAACCTAAGTAAACATCTTTTTTTTGCCAAGTAGAACCAATTAGTACTTTTGTACATCGTTGAAAATAAGTATACGTTTACGATTTTGTATACCTATTGGAATCTACAAGTTCTTATAAGATGTGTAAGCACCACTCAGAATCAGAATTTCTCAATTGCTCCAATTGTCACTCAGAACTTTTTGAGGTTGCTTAAAGTGGACTGCAAAGTGTGCTAGATGTTTTAATGCAACAGATGATGATTCTGTAAAGGGGTCGGCTTCTGCTTCTGAGATCCAGAAAGCCAGCAACTTATTGATTTTCAATTCATCATTTCTGTAAGTTGTCGTCTCTTAGTCGTCGTGTCACCTGAAACCGAATTAGTTTCCATATCACCTCAGTACTGATTTGATTCGGCTACATCATTTAGGATATTAGAATAGCCGCTTTGCTGTTTGCTATTCAAGACTTTAACAGATTTCTGAAGTGGCGCTGTTGAGTTCTCAACTTTCGTAAAGATATCGTAAAGATAGTCAATACAACACTAACATATTCAAACAAAATTTTAAGTTTCTGCATTTACATATTTATTTATCTTTTATTTCTATAAACTTTCTTCTCTTTACAACGTGCCTACTTAACAATAAATATTGCATTAATATAATACAAATTTAAAAAAACGAAGATTTAGCTTAAAATATATGTGAAAGCTTATGCGAGTATGGTCGTGTATTATGGCATTAATGAAGTTTTCATGAAACATATACTTATGCTTTGTATTATGTACAATAGATAAAGAAGAAAAAACGTTAACTTTAGCTGTAAAGCCCCTTAACAGATGCATTTCTTATAGCAACTTTACGTATAACTAAATCTAAAGACGTAGCCGGCCAAAAGTTTGCATCCGATATAAAACGTATTGCTAGTTCTTTCTACCCACGTTGTCTGGTATATGTTACACAACCTTTAAGTCGGTTACTAATAAAGAAAAAAGATATATTATGAAGGTCTTTATCTTGATTTTGATCGATCACTTTGTTTAGTAGTCCGATCTGAACAATTTGTTCGGAGATTTTAGCGTTGCCTTATACAATAACCCATGCCAAATTACGTGAAGATACGACAAATGAGCCGTTTCTTCGCGAAACGGTCGTGTACAAAATTTCAGATCGATAGCTCAAAAACTGAGGGACTAGTTCGTAAATTTATATATATATAATATATCAACGCAGTTCGTCACGCAGATCATTTACAGGTATACTTATTAGGGTCTCCGACATCTCCGTCTGTCAAACTTAATATACCCCTGTTCAGAGCATAAAAATTATACTAAAATATCAGTGCATACCTGCTGCTGAAAAACTGTCCGGTGTCATTTTTGTTGTTTTTTAGATAATAAATAAAGTATTTTCATTTATTCAAAAACAATATATCGCGGACCACATGAAATTAGGCTTGGATTCCGAAAGAAAAGCACGAATATTTCAAGACTTTACATTTACTCAACCATATAGCTGTATTTTATTTTCCTATTTGTATACTGCCGAATCGAACTGGTATAAGTCGCATATATTGGCTTATTAAAGCAGAAACTGTAAAGAGCTATTCGGAGTATAGTGTATTCAATTCAAGTTGATTACTTTGTTCTGGTTTTCATGTGTAAACTTTTACGATCAGAGAAGCAGCGAATCAAATACGGCTATTGTATGCGTATATGAATGAACTTAGTAGTATGAGCAGCTTTTGCTCATAAATCTGTTGAATATAAAACACGTGTGTTTACCGATTCGCATTTATTTCTTTAACTCATTCGTTTCATTTTTTTTTGCGGTATTTCCCCAGAAACCGCAAAGAGCGAAATATTAGTAAACAAGAAGGTTTGAGATTTGTGACGGAATAAAATCATTATAAAAGCATTAACCGCTTTTGACTGTGAAAATAGTCGAGCTTCAGCTAAATCTTTAGAAACAACTCATCATAAGGGCGATTGAAACGTAAAAGTGTTAAGCGCTAATTAATAACGGCAACACGTATTTCACAAAAATGCGAGGAACTAGTATCGTTTTCTTAGCCTTTTTGGCTTATTCGAGCGCATATCCCTTAGAGGAGCAACAGGTCAGTGTTCAAGTACCTGAAAGTGCTCTACAAGTGAATGCTGAAAAGGATGCAGTATTGCCCGAAGTATCCGAAATTGTACAAATTATAGCGGTGCCGGAATCTGAAGCAGATCAATCAAAGGCTCAGCAACTTTTAGATGTTGATGTGGGTGTTCCGGCAGGCATTGAAGCAACTCGGCAAGCCCGTCAGTTCTTAGGTGGTTTTGGTGGAGGATTTCCCGGTAATGGCGGATTTGGCGGCGGCGGCTTTCCCGGTTATGGCGGTTTTGGCGGCTTTCCCGGTTACGGTGGTAATGGTGGTTACGGAGGCTTCGGTGGCCACCGACATCATGGTGGCTTCGGCCGTTATCCCGGTTATGGCGGATACGGTGGATTTTATGGTTAAAATGTTTAGAAGGAATTAGATTCATTAATTGTGATACATTATTTAAAAGTCAAATGTGGGTACACTTACCTCTATAATATATTATATATATGTATATATTTAATGAAAAAACCGAAATAAAAAAATTAAGAAATCGTTATAAAAAAAATACCTAGTTGGTGCGTAGTAAGTGTAAGTAGTACTTCTGGATAATAGCGTCGAAAAAACTTGGAAGAAACTCTGTGAAATATCCAGTTTGACAAGACACTTGATGTTATATAAATTTTGAAAGTGTTTTATATATATGTCACTATCACTGAGGTTACCTAAGAATATTTAAATAATGTAAAGGCTTCGTGAGCCGTTATAGATAATCCGCTTACTTAAAACTGAATAACTCTTTTGTACGAATATTATTTTGTGCATATGTTCCACCGACTTGGCTACTATGCGATATGTATAGTGAAATTTGAGATAAATTAATATTATATTTCTTTGTTATGTTGTAAAGTTATGCTGAAATTATTGTCTTCGAGTCCTCCATTCATGGGAATTGGCGAATTGAACAAATAACTGACATAAAGCAAACATACTGGTAGAATAGGACTAAGAGGTTATATTATTTTAATCAAGCATCTTGTTTTGCATCTTCCTAAAGATAGATGAAACACTCCAGTTTAATCCTTGCTAATGAGGTACTAGACTACTTTGTTTGTTGACCATTAAATATAGCTCATCATTATTCATTAACTGATATTTTTGTCAAATTGTGAACTCTAATTTTTGCACATTTTAGAGCGATCGGCATTAACTGCCGTTCATTGAGGCCTCTGACCGAACACTTCTCAGTTAAAGACGTCATTCATTGCTGCTGTGCAAAGTTAGTCAAGATGTTAATTACTGATACGACTAGTTGCACCAAAGTTGTCCTTGCAGACATTTCCAAATGCACTGCTATAACTAACTGTTTTAACATTTTCTGTTATTTGTTATTTTGCTTTGCATTGCTGTAAGCGTCTTTTATGCGAAAAGTACTTTTTATTATTTACATAGAGCGAATCAAAGCGTGAGACGTCAACAAAAACCAAGAAAATAAGCAAAAACAAATAAAACAACCAACGGTCCGCTCAAGTTTTCCATTTGATAATTTTTTTCTTGTTGCTTTCTATGTCGATTTCCTTCGCTTTGTATTTATTGCTCCACAACTGTTTGGTATTTATTTATTTACTATTTGTTTTGCCGTTTTCCATTTGCTGCGTGTGTGCAGAATTGCAATCAGATAACACCTTTTTGTCATTCTTTCAGTCATTCATTCATTCATTCATTCCTTCTACTTTTCAACTATTCGCAGTCCACTACGGCCCTCAACCTCGCTGTGCAAACATTCTCGCACTCACGGCACCTTATTATGACCAATAGGCTGTGGGCGTTTGTAAATATGCTCAGCACTCAGCACTAATTTTAAGTAGGCAAAGAAGAAGCGTAGAGAGCGTCAGCTGTGCTGCAGGTAATTGCTGCCCTGTAAATGCAACTTGAATTGTACCAATGCTTCGTCATTCCACCGAACTAAGAAAGTGCTTGGAAATGAAGGCAATCTCTACTTCTATGCATAATACGCAAAATAAATAGTCAAAGGAGTAGTAAAATGAGCCGCTAGCTCTTTGCTGACGTTGGGGAAAATAACTACCCCATTACAGGGTGATTTCATCAAATATGCGCTACGATTGCAACATTCCGAATCTGTATAAAACTGTAAGATTCTTCTCATATCTTATTGCTATTCTCACTCTTTTGATTGTTCTTCTTTACACTCTTCACCTAACCTTAACTGAATTTGATTTTGGAACAGGCAAACTATATATATTATATAATATATATCTGAAATAAAGATGAGCAGGGCCTAGTACATATTTTTGAACAGAAAGATGAAACTATAGCTACATATTATATACATACATATAGCAGGAGGGTCCTCAACACGTTGTGCAGACAAGAATTATATATCCAGAAATAGTTCAAAATAGGTGAAAATTACTCTTAGCCCCACAAAATCGCAGATATGGCATTTTAATTTGGAGCAGCCTGTAAAGCTAGTTTGCTAGTCTTTGTTGTATCACTTAATGTCCACCATTCATTTGATTTCAACTCGTCTGGGAATTATTCGGCTTTCAATCTCAAATGTACAATTATAATGAAGTGAGCAACAACTACGCGCATACAAAACAGTATTATTGGGTGGAGAAACACTAATAAGTAGAGCCTTTTTTCGAAGCATTTCAGCGTTCTTAATCAAAGTAGCGTCTTAAGACTTTTTTCAACCAATCAACAACCGACCGGACGATGCACTACAACACAAATGCTCTATTCCAGCTTTATACTCCATAGTCATAAGTATGCACACTTGTGGGAAAAATAATATAGTTACCTTATTGAAATATAAATGTCTTGCGTATTTATTTTTGCTTAATTAAGCTATTCGATGATTTATGGAGGAACATAGAAGTTCAACTAAACTACCACTAAAAAAATCTCATTTTTGACCTTTGTCAAATTCTGAATGCCTAGTACTTGCTCTTAACAATTAACATAACAATTGTTATTACAATCTTAGTGGATTAGCTGTTGGTTCGGAGAACTTTTTTCTTTCTCTCATATTTCTGTAAGTTTTTAATTTTCTTAAAATTCTATGCCCCCACCTTAAAAAAGATAGACCTGAACGTCGTTTTTATTTTGTCCACTACTGTACGTAAGGAGAAATGAAGCAAATTTTCATACACACCCCACACTTGCTCAGAGCGTCAAGTTGTATTGGGAATTCATTCATCTCGCCGATGCATTGCCGGTCCGCGAACAATTAATGAAAATTGCAATGGCGCGTTGAAGGTTGGAGACTAGCTATGTTGCGACGGCTGAAGCATGGAAAACGCTCAGTTAATTGTAGGTTAGCAGAGGAAGTAAATATTCGCAGTTGTTGCGGAAAAAAAGCAAAGGAAATGAAACAAACAAGCGCAGTGAATTGCTTTCAATACATACATTCATACAACTGTAAATATAGCACTTTTTCCTATTTAACCAACTAGTTGAACTTGTAGCTGGGGGTTGTAACAAGCGGAAACAGCCGTTGAGGATTGTAAAGCAGCAAGTAAGAAAGCAGGAAAGTCTGGTACTCAATCTTTAAATACCGTTACAATAGCAAAAAAGCAACTTTGTAGCTTAAAACCGGATAGAGCAAAGTTACGGAGAAGTATGCACTGAAGTAGTAGAGGGGAAGCTCTCGAATCCATTGTGGTTGTTTGCATGCATACAAGCATACAATTACAAAGAGCAAAGGAAGTGGTTTGTATGGTGAAGAACAGAAAATCCCCATGGAAAGCTCAACGAGTAAATGGAAGAAGGCAAATATCCGTGCAGCAAATGTAATTGAAGTTTTATTGAAAACGATTGAATAGCGGTCAAGTTAAGTGATTTAGATGGATGGATTGAAGAGCAGCACATACATTCGTACATGAGTACATACGTACTTACGTACTTACGTTAGAAGTGCCAAAGGACAGGTGGACAATTGCTCTTATGACATATATACAGACATACGGACGTATGTAGATACATACGGACGACAATTCACACGGTGTGTTTACTCAAATTGCCCTCGCACTTACAGGGACCACGCGGATATCTATCAAATGAGCAACCATGTAAGAATGTATATTTTGGTATGTAGAAGTGTGGGTATGCAATTGCGCAAATTAATGAACGGAAGTGCCAGTGGCTGAACTGAGGAGCAAATACGTTCAACTGGAAAATGCAAATAAATTTGTGAAATGAGAAAATGAGCTCAACACAAACATTGACTAAGTTAGAACCCGCTTGCTTGGTAAATGTGACTTCATTAGTGTGCAACAAGAATGCGGCAAATAGTAAAGTAATTATAGTTGTGTAACATTAAGAACACACACCGCAATTGAGGATGAGCAATATGCAAATATGCAAATGCGAAATGCATTAAGTTCAATTGAATTCAAATAAAAACTCAAATAAATACTTGCGGTAATATGGAGTGGCAAACTATTTTAAGGTTCTAATTCTTAATTAATATATGTATATTAACCAGAAACTGAATATTTTTGGTATACTGGATGTGACTAAAAATCGTTCTTTCAAACAGTTAAGCAGCTTTGTGAAAACTGCAGTAAAAGATTATCTATTTTGTCAACCAGCTGATAAAAGCACATTCGCAATTAAAAGTGTTGTGATTTTGATTGCTCACATGGACACAGGACTTCAAACAACTCTGTGAGACGAGTTGAATTCCGAGTAACTGACTGTCTGTAAAAGGGGATGAAATCGGATGACATTAAATTTGACATCCGAGATGGTACAAGACGGCTTTACAGGAATCGGGGTCAAAATAGGACGATGGACGATTTTTCGAACTTCGGGTTTACTTTATACCGCGGCCAGTATATGAGTTATCTTAGTAAAAATGAGAGATCGCATATAACTAATAACAATGTATATTACCCATTCAGTTGCGTTATAAAGGACAAGTTTTCTAAAAGATTATGTGGTATAAGCCTCATATTCCTAATATAAAGCATCTCGATCCTCTAAATGACGTTTTTCAAACAAACTCAATATATTAAATTTAGCTTCTTGGCTTGAGTTAATATCACATATTTCTCATTTAAGAATGATTTTAATATATGTTAACTTTCATCGAATAATGAATGTGGAAATGTTTCGAAACATTTTTTAATATAATATAAAGTTTTGCCAACACTGCAGGTATTTCCCCAGATTATATCCTTGCAAGTTGCAAGAGTATGAAATCTTCGGTTATACCCGAGCTTAACGCTTTCTTACTTGTGCTTACTTACTTTTTTCGCAGACCCCAAGCCTAATTGCACCATTGATTGCACCTGCCAAAGGTTAATTACTTATCAGTACGTTTTGTGCATAGCAAAGTCTTTTTGTCGTCGCCATCACTCCAACTTGAGTTAGTTGAATTATTGAAAAATCTAATTCCGCCAAACACTTTTTTTTTGTTTGTTTTGTTTGAAAAGCTTTTGAGCTTTTCTGATTATTGTATTCATATGCAATATATATATATATATTATAATGCAATGTGATGCTTGCAAAAGAAATAGTATAAATAGCCATAGGCTTTCACATCAATTTAGTTAGATTTGGAACTGCCCCTAATCGGTTAGTCTGAATAAACAATCTTTAGCTAAAAATGAAATACTCGTTGCTGCTCGTAGCCGGCGCTTTGCTGTTTGTGCAAGTAAGCTACATACCAATAAACAATAATATATACATATACTTACTATACATATTCCTTTGTTTATTATAATAGTTCGCCCATGCCCTGCCGCATATGAAGCGTGAGTCCGTTGCTGTCGCAATTCAATCACAAAATAGCATTCACCAATCTTCAGGATCCTCATCTGAAGAGGACAGTCCTCAAGCGGTACTGATGATTTACACTTTAGCCGAAATCGCTAAACTTTCAACATGGGTACTCGAACAGGGTAGCATTGTAATCAAAAATACCGTGAACGAATTGAAGGAAATCCCAGTTAAAGATGGACTCTTACAAGCGAACATCACACGCATGTCTGAAGTTGCCAAAGAATCCGCAGAATTTACCCTTAAAGAAGATGAAGAGAGCGTACTGAAACTACTCTTGTCCATGGTTAATTTTGCAACAATGATGGATGACTATGAGAATATGCCTGCCGATTCGAAACTGAAACAAACCTTGCAAACAGCTCTCGAAAATAACGGCTACAACAAGTTTGAGAGCGAGTTTGAAGAAAAAGTATTGCAGATGGCCAAGAACTTCGACGTGGCATTTGGTGAATATGTTAAGGTTTTAACCCCAGAGGAAAAGATAAAGCAAGCAAAGTTACTTAAGTGGTACGAAGACTTCAAGGCCGAAACTGACGAAGAAAAGAAAATTGACAAGTTTGGCGAAATCTTTGACAACTTGTCTTAAATTAGCGCAAGATACTATAAAGATAGGAGAAAATAAATATATCAACTTGAATATGTACATATATTTGTGTTATTTTATTTATTTCGCTTTTTGATTTGAGGAAGAGAGAAAATAGCTTTACTTTACAGCATCAAGGTGGCAAATAGAGAAGCACTACTCTTTAAGAGTATTTAAAATTATTGATTCGATGTAGGAGGTTAATGGGTATAGAATTTGGAATTATATATATTATATAAAGTATGGTATATATATATATATATATTTATGGTTATTTATATATATATATATAACTTTTTTATATTGATCTACTAAGGTAATTCAGATTACTGAAATTAAGAACGCTCCTAATGTGTGTAAGAGTTGAGCCTAACTCTACTTTTTATATGTATATATGCAAAGCAATGCGCTAAAATGTAAATTTAAAATAAACCAAGTGAAAAAAGTTGTTAATCTTGAGCTTTTGCGTTTCACTGTTCAATTACACATCAACTCTTATCATTGTTTAGAATTACATATGTAGCGACCTTAAACTTTGCGCAGTAGAGCATACGGCAGAGAATTTGAAACTTATAAATTTTCATTGCATTTTGTCTTTAATTCAGTTCGATTTTCAACATTCTCCAGCTAGTATTTTGCTTCCGATTCTCAATCGCCTCAACAAGGATGAAGCAGATATTAATATTCATCGCGAGCGCTCTGCTATTGCTGCAAGTACGATTATTATACTAATATATACTACTTGTATATATGCACTAAATTTGTTCACACTAATTTTATACTAGTTTACTAATAATAAACCCTTTTAACAGTTATCCCACGCTTTTCCCCGAACGAAACGTAATGATGCAGCTGTGCTTGCTCTCTTCCAAAACTCGTCTTCCGAAGAAGTTGATTCAAAAATTCAACTTTTGGTTAGTACTTTGGACGATATAGTTCAACTATCGAAGTGGGTGCTTGAAAAGGGGAGCGTAGTAGTTAATAATGCTGTTAAGGAACTGCAAGTTCTTCCAGAACAAGATGAACTTCTGCGAGCAAACATAACACGCATGTCAAAAATTGCAACAGAATCTTCACAATTTAAACCGGAAGAAGATGGGCAGAGTATCTTGAAACTATTAGATTATATGGTTAGTTTTACAGAAATGATGGCGGACTTTGAAAACATGCCTGACGACTCAAAACAGAAGGGCACATTGAAGACAGCTTTGGAAAATAGTGGTTACAATAAGCTTGAGAAAGACTACGAGGAAAAAGTCATACAACTCACTAAGGATTTCGACCAGGAATTCGGCAAATATGTCAGCGGATTATCTCCGACCGAAAAGGTTAATGAAGCCAAATTGCTAAAATGGTATGATGACTACAAAGCTGAAACTGATGAGGACCGGAAATTTGACAAATTCGGTGATTTCTTTGACAACATTTCCTAAAACCTAAACATAGACAAAATTTTTGATTTACATTAATATTCATACTATAAATAGACTATTTTTTATATAAATTTTATTTGGTTATATTCATGTATAAGTAGTTACCGTATTAATGAAATAGAAAAATCATGTAGCGTGCAATGGAGCTTTATATACACTGAATTATATCTTATTCTTCAAGTATTTGTTATAAGAAAGGAGTATTGTTATTTAAATTATTGATTACCTTTCTCAGCGTTTAGGTCTTGACCAATAACTTTCTCACTAAGGCCTCGAAGTAATAGTGTATTTATTAGTAAACCAAAACCAATTAGGCCATATTGAAGCCAATAATTTTCAGCCAGATAATTCCTTCCAATAAAACAGAGAAAACAGAACTTTAGTATGCCTTAATATACATATGCTGCATAGCCTAGGTTAAGGCAAAAAATCTCCCAAGTGAATATAACTATATACAATTTTAAGCTTTATTATCTTTACTTAACCCTTTTTACTTAGTTCTCCTATGAGAGTTTTTGTGATGGTCAGTCCTTCAAGTGGGCATTTCTACATCGTTCTTAAATGGAGAAAAAACTTTGATCTGCGAACTCACACTTTTTGCCTGATCGTATTGAAAATGTGCATATATGTTTTTGTAATTATTGATAGATATGCAAGCTTATGCAGCAGCTCTTATCAATGCAGCTCATGAATTCACGTATATTTCTTTATGACTTTTGTGCATACATACATCCACACATTCATAGGTGATTCAATAACAAGTTAATCTCAAAAAAAAGCAAACAAGGTAATCAGTTCAATTAAATATTTTTAACACTTGTTTATTAGACAGAAGCTGCACTGTTTTTGATTTAATGTTTGTCACTTATCACCTATTAATTAAATTTCTCGAAAAATTAATAAAGCTTACATACGTGCAAGTGTTACCTTGTGATAGGAGCATATAAAAGGTCTTTGCATTTGGTTTATAATTTAGTTCAATTATATAAGTCCGTCTGTCAATAAATTTCTTGTCAATTTCAGTTATTCAACTTTTCAAAATATGAAACGTTTATTAATTCTCGTCGCTAGCGCTTTGTTGTTGGTGCAGGTAAGATTCATATACTCGCTTGGGTCCGAATAACATTGAAGCCTTCTGATGATTGAATAGTTCTCTAATGCATTGCCGCATGTGAAACATGTGTCCGGCGCTGTTAATCATGCGCAAGGGTCCTCATCTGAAGAGCACAACGCACAAGAACTACTGATGATTTCTACCATTAACGAAATAGTTAAACTATACAAATGGGTGCTCGAGAATGGCAGCGTAATCGTTAATAACGCTGTTGAGGAACTTAATAAAATTCCGGTCAAAGATGCTCTCTTGCAAGCGAATATCACACGCATGTCTAAAATCGGAACTGAGGTTTCTCTATTCAAACTGGCATCAGATGACAAAAGCGTTGTAAAACTTTTGGAATATATGGTTAGTTTTACCGCAATGATGGACGATTATGAGCACATGCCCATCGATTCGAAATTGAAACTCACTCTGAAGACAGCTTTAGACAATAACGGATACAATAAATTCGAGAACGAATTCGAATTGCGTGTCCTGGAGTTGTTTAAGAATTTCGACCATGCATTTGCAGAATATGTGAAGACTTTGACTCCGGAAGAAAAAGTAAAGGAAAGCAAATTACTTCAATGGCATGAAGACTTCACAGCTGAAACCGATGAAGAAACGAAACTTGAGAAGTTTGGCGAACTATTTGTTTAAATTTCCAGAAATGCCTTTGACTACGAAAATAAAGTTGATTTAAGAAATTAGTTTCTACACATTTTATTACTATTCGTTTTATTCTTAAGCTAAAGGTAGTTCTTTTCACTTCTTCACTTCGGAATGTCAACTTGTTCCCTTGAATAGAACACCCTCAATCAGAACACATGGGCACCAAAGTGACATGACCATGAAGTACCCTAATGTATACTAAATACGCTGATAAGGCCAGCAGCGAGTGCATATAATTTGTAGCATCCAGGGTTGATAAGTCAACTGTCACTGTTTACAGCGCTTAGAATTGTGCCAATTACCGTCATCTATCTATACTAAGCTCTGATCTAATTATATATACATTTCATTATACCATTATTTAATTGATATATACGTAAAAAAATGTAAACAATTAAGTTATATTATTCAGACAACATTTTACTTTGTTTTCTGATCAATCAAGTCACACATTCCGTAAAGCCGTTGAATCCCAGGCAGCTTTTAAGCTTGTACCAGAGAATTTAGATTTTCATCAAAAGGAGTAAAACCTTAATATTCATCATTGTCACGCACTTAGTGAATTCATAATGAAAATTTTTAGACATTTAAAGCAAATATAATAATTGATATGTCCGCAAATACCAAGCGATCGATAAGATAAGTCGCCTCAAGTGCTCAAACCGCTGAATAAGAATCATTTGCATAATTAGTGAGATCCTTGATATTCTCTTCCGTGAATGTAATTTATTTACATATATAGACGTGTCTAACTGAGCTAAATGTATTTTATATATTATAACATATTACGCTCGCTGGACGTAGTAATTTTTACTGCTCTTACTCACGTTTGCAAGCCAACACTTCACAACAACAAACGACTTCGAAATTCATACATACATTATCAAGTTATTACATTATAACTGTTTTACGATGGCTTGCATTAAAAGCCACTTTATTCTACGCATATTTTAAAGCGACGAAGGACAATCGTCACACTTGTGAAATATGCTGTTATGAAAGACGAGCTCATAGCCCAGCCAAAAGAAAGGGCACTTGTCGTGCGTCAGCTGTGCGTAAACTATGCAAATTCGAGGAACGAAAAGCAAGATTGCCCAAACGTGTAGTTCGTGTATAATACATATGTACATACAACCATTTATAAAAACTGTCCTTATAAGTTAATATTAAATAATCTGAGTATGTTTCTAACTTTTGCAAATGCTCGCACTTACACTTTTTCTTTTCTTCTCGTAACATATTGCAAAAAAATTGTTCGTCTAACGGTTGTTTCTAACATATTTTTGGTGTTGCCCGCTCATTTTCTATAAAATTTCATGTCTAGAAAACGAATCGACCAATTTAACCAAAACTTAGAGAAGCCCTTTGAAATTGGAAAAGTGTCGAAAAACTGTCACGTCTACTACTTACATAATGCTATTTCATCAGCTACTTTGATCATAGGAGCGTAGTATTACAAGTAATGTTAGCGTTAGGTTAGGTTTTGTCTCAAAATTGTGTGGACTATTAAATTGGGGGAGACCCTGTAGACATATATAAGAAATATTGTAGTTTGTGACTCATGCATTACTTCTTGCATCTAAAACCATATAAGTATGTATATTTTTGGTCACATCCACTTGTAATGCAATCGCTCAACAGGAGGCGCCAGTTTGGCTGAAGGCTGAGATAAAATAAAATGTATTTTTAATGCAAAAAAGTTTGTTAAACACTTCAATGATAACATGCACACACACATACACAGAATGAGGAACTTAAGTTCCTATTTTACAATAAACTTTTGTTTCCATCTTTCTTATATATTTTCATGTCGTTTACTTTTAGCCAAAAAAAAATTTAACTCAACCCATCAGCATATCAAAGAAATCAAGTATAAGCAGAAGTTTTTGGCGATACTTTTCCTTTTTTTACAAGTAATGTACAAATTTTTAATAAGACATCAAAAAAAGAAATAGTGTTTATTTTGGCAATGTGTTAACTGCGCTAAAAGCGGGGCATGGAAGGTTTAAATTTCGACCGAGTTAAATTTAAGAATAAAGGAAGACATTTTTAATACATTAATCGCCGCAGCATTACCCCGTTAGATATAGCAGAATCCAGCATTTGCATCTATATAATAAATACAATTTCACGTACTTAGAATTCTGAGGCAACATTTTGACGTCTGGAAGTTTTCACTAACTCCCCTTTAATGAATTTATTTTATTATATTTATCAACGTTTTCGTTTCAAAGTATTTGTATTTGTTTTAGTTGTTTTGCAAGTGGTTCGTAATCCTATAAAGCTGCAAATGAAATCATAAAATTTGCATTTTTATACATTGTCACTATGAGCACTTCAAACATTCAGCTTTCTGTTTTCTGTTTTCTTGAAGGATCGCCTCGTTTGTCCTCCTACTTCTTCCGCATACTTTACTCAAAAACGACCACAGTAGAACACTCAAAAACTTCCCACAGTGCAGTTTCTCAATTCTTTAGATTTTAAAATTCAATTTTATGCTCATAAATAAAAGTTACGCACACCTTGTGAGCGATTGTGAGCACGGCGCATCTTCTGCGCAGGTAAGCAAGACAACCAAAATAGAAATACTTCTAAGTTCATATCTGCACTTGAAGCAAGTGGTTTACAAGTTAAAGTCTGTGTGCATAGGTGAATATGTCTGTTTGAGAGGGGGAAAATATGAAAAACTCTTTTACCACAAAGCATACAAATATTTGAAAGCTTGTCACCTACGGAACTCATCTCGATGCCGTGGCAAACTTTTCAACTCCGAACTCAGCTCAAGTCGAGTCGGAAGAATTTTGTGGATAACGCAGACGTCTTTGAAATACTCTAAACCTTATGTGTATTCACAATTGGCATATTTTTAAAATGAAACTTCATTACGATATGTAGTAAAATCAATCGACTGCAGCGAAAGCAAGTATTAATTATTATCTGTATGAACAGAAAAAAATTATAAGAAGAGTTGTCAACTCTTTCAAAATTTTTCAATACAAGTGAAACGTAATCTATTCATTACCATATGGTTAGGCGTTAAGGAAGTCACAGTTATTTTTGGAAAAAGTTGCTACCACTTTAAGTTTCGAAGAAATATTTTTTAAAAGAGTTGCCACCTGCGGTGCAGCCGTTAGTATACTCGCATCTAGCTCTGTTGAACGAATAAATTATTATCTTTCCTAGCATATGATAATCGAAGTCATAAAAAACTTTTTCTTATGTCTCAAAAATGAAATACCAAAGTACCAAGTTCTGACAAAAACCTCGAAAACATCATTAACCTGCTCAAGTGTGGCGAAAATATATTTAGTACACTGAATTTACAAAATTTTGTTTAGCTTTTATAATTTTTTTGATAATTTTGCTTATTATTACAAAAAAGTAAGACTCCGAATTTTAGCCTAATCTAGAAAAAAACGTATTTCATAATTCTCAATAAAAGTGATATACAAGTATTTCGAATGAATTAATTTTTGTTGTTTCGGATTCACTTAAAGTTCGATCAGAATCGGATAAATTGCTCTTTCAATACAAGCTAGTAGGTTCACGCGTGCCATAAGTATGATGGAACATGCGTCTTCTGCTAATATTTTGCTGGGAGAATTGTGTAAAAAAAAGTACAATAATAGAAGCGGAGATTCTAAAACAACATAAATGCTGCAACTGCAAAACTGTCGATGATGATAACGACGAATGCATTTGCACTAAGAAATTCGTTAAGTTATGCGTTATCACGTGACGAAAGCTGCATACAATGGAGCTGAAAGAAGGTGCGAAGGACACAAGAGCTCTTCAGGATATCACGGCTTGGTCAACCATTGTTGACATACACCCGATAAAAGCGTTGTGTGCAACAACAAAAACGAAAAAAAGAAAAAGGAGCGTTGTATATATGTATGTGCATACAGACAAATGCATGCTGGAGTGTAGGACCTTCTTTTGCATTTTACCTTACTTTTTAAATTATGCGTCCTAATGGCTTACGAAGAGAATAGACAAAATTGGAAAAGCATTGAAGACTTACAAACTGATGAGGTCCGTGCGTGAGCGTGTGGCCAAAAAACTAAACGTGAAAATCTGTTCAGCGTTTAAGTATATAAGTAGCTGTAAAAAATATAGCATTTTCTTTTGTCACGTGCTGGCAACAATCAATGGCCGCGTCAGCAGGACGTCATCGTCAGCGCGAAACATTCAGCATCGCAATGCGTGACAGAGACGGTGGCAGCAGTAGCTGTTGTCATACATATCGTGGGATATAGGGACGGGAGCGGGGGGTCATACTTATGTCAGTCGTGCAGAAGTGTAAGCGCAGCATGGCCCAGCGTTCATTCAAAACGCGCAAAACGTCAAATGAAGCGTGAATAAAAAAGTTTTTGAATTAAACTTTTGTCATTTCATGGAATTTATGTCGGAATCTGTTCGATTTGAGATGCGAAATTCAAATTTCCGTTCAACAAATGAAGTTTTTGCTGTGATTTTTGTTTTATTTTTTATACTCGTCACAAAAACACCTTGTTCGTTGTGTGTGTGTAAAGATAAAAATGTAAATGTGTATTGCATGATAACGGTTTATATATGTACCTACATATATACCAAATGTATGTTAGAATCAATATTTCATATGATGGAGAAATAGATTAGTGCAAATTAAGAAACAATTAGGCACAATTATGTCTCATATCCTTAATACGAGGGTTGCCTTTAATATTTGTTTTTCAAAAGATCTACCATATACACTTTTGCATACGTTTAAATCAATTGTCGAAGCAGTTTTCCACTCGGATTGACGTATCTCCAAAACATGCGTTCTGATTTCTTAAAAAAAAACTGCTGTCTCAATCTCACGATAGGTCACATGATGATCTTGCAATATCAGTTTGCGCACAGCATCAACAGTTTCCGGGACCCCAACTGATTTGGGTGACCTTCACGAAATTCGAATAGGAGTGAGCTAGAAGCTCTATTGAATTTACGAAACCATCGTAAACACTCGTCATTGAAGGAGCTTCTTCGGTAAAAATTGAGCAAAGTTCATCAA